ACTACCCAAAACTATTTTAAAGTATTCTGATAGCTGTGATTAATAAAAACAATTGTCATGGCTTTTATTTTTCACAGCCACCTATGCGTTATAGACTTATTTTGCATTGAAATGAAAATAGGTTGATATGCTGTAATTGCAACGTGTTATTTTTATGCTGCAAATTTGATTAGGGAGTGATAAAGTTGGTGTTTTCTACTATATATTATCAAAATATTCATTGTTAATATTTTAAATCTATAACACCCTGCTACATTTTTATTATTTGTGTTTGGTAAGAAAAAACTAAGATTTCAATAGTTGGGCCAACTGAAGTGGGAAGGGGCTCGTAGTTTCCTTTACCCAAAGCGTATGATTACATTTGAATGCATACTGAATCGAAGAATATCGTAATATGTATATGTATCCGTAATTTTGCGTATGTCGTAGTTGACTACCGAAGACACCATTTCAGCAGCTGCTGAAAAGTCTTTCTAGAACCTAAATGTAACCTTCACCATCTAATTTTATCACTTTGTACAATGCCTAAAGAGAATTTGGCTTGAACCATGGATCACTACAAGAATGCATCGATTAAAGTCTCAGTTTTCTGAACTATATATATGAACGATTCAAAAGTACAGTCTGCGAAAAACAAAAGCTCTCCGGTTGTTAGCCTGCCAAACATGAATAAAAACTGCTATTCTGGATCTTATTGAGCAAGGTTTTAACTTTAATATCTATACTTGGCAACATCAAAAATGATTACTTTCAAAACAGTTATTTATCATGGCTATTTCTAGAGATCGGTGAGACGATTGATTAACAAAGTATTTTCTGAAATTTCAACGCACCCAGGCAGCGATTTTTTCGCTCGGGACAGGGTTTTTCGGATTATTTATATTGAACAAAGAAGGTGCTTAGTAGAGCATCTCTCTAAAGTGCGCCATTTTCGAGTTATAAGCGGTTCAACAAACAGTGCTCAGTGCTCGATAAATCGGTTAAAAGACATTATCTTTGAGGTTGCTAAGTGCTTAATTAAATTTCGTACCGTCCCCTACAAGACTCCAAAGCTAGGCTTGGTTTATTTTAAGGTAATTTTTAACCTTACTTGGTGGGCTAACAAGATGCGACCTTTTGATTTTCGCAGACTGAAAAAGCAAATAAAAGCCTGGTTGACTGTGCAGTGCACGGGTATCATGTAAAAAACCTATAAAACGTCAAAAAAAGAACCTATAAGATGTCAACTTGCAGACTAGGTAGTTTTTACTTGTCACTTTTCAAGATACGTGATTCACGTGCCGTTGTGCTCGATCTGTGGCTATACTTTCTTCGGTGGCGGTGCGGCGCAACTTGGATACGATCGAAGCGCGGGCCTTTGCGGATTCTTGACAATGGAATGCCATTTTGCTACAAGAGTCGCAGTAGAGGGAATCAGATCGACATTTTGTCTATTGTGCTCGATCGAGCGATGCCCAATGCGGATCAAACACTGGCACCACCCTTTCGGTTTTCTGTCTGTCTATCTTAAGATGTCATGTTGTCGCAGTGAACGATTATAGTATTTTTTTCCGTATTTATGCCCTAAAGAGCAGTATCAAAAACAAGAAATGCTTGGGAAATATTTAGAGAAAATTCTTTTTTTCATCTTTCGTGCTTTTGTCACAATATTCCTTTCCTTGTTAGTTGCAAGTTGATAGTGAAAGTTCAACAACCTCTTCTGGTAAATTTCTTAAGAACCCCTCGGAAGCAACTTCCACAAGCACTTTTATATTTCGTCCACATTGAAAAGAAATAAAACTGGAACGAACGGACAGTCTTTCTTTTCCATTCATCGAACCGCATCCTCTACAAAAAAAACTCCATTTACATGTGGATCATATCTAAGTGTAGTCCAAATATTGTTCTCCGCGAAAATACATTATTCACAATAGGGATAAAAACAGACACAAACTTATGCTGTTTATGTAAAGAAGTTTACTCTTTCTGGGTCGCATGAAATATTGGCAAACCAGAAAGTAGCGAAAGTTTTTTATCTGAGAGCAGGCTGGTACATCAGTCATTTTTCATATGCTGTTCATGGACTTTGTGAGGATTTACGGATAGAATTTACCAGAAAAACGAAACTAGGGCATGAACTTTATTGTACTTTACCCGTGAAAGTTACGGCAATCTTGTTAAATGAATTTACCCAGAAGCTTTTTAGAAACATATGAGCTAAATACGCCTAGCTGTTGATAATAAAGAATTCCTCAATTTTATTCCATATTATTCCACGTGCTACCAGTACAGTCAGCGAAAAAAAAAAGTTTGCCGTTTTGGCCTAACAGAAGAGGTTAAGAAATCCATTTAAAATACAGTAATTGGGTCTTGTAATGCACGTTCTACACGTTAATTTAGTTACATGGCGACCTCAAAAATTATATTTTTAAGGCTGTTTAGAAATTAAATCGGCTATAACTCAAAAATGGCCAGGTTCCACAAAAAAATAAAACGAAAAAATGGTCCAGGCAAAAAACTAATTAAAAAAATTCTTATAACAAATTTGATCTAGGTCACAGTGGGGATATAAGTTATGGAATCCTGTCGGTAACATAACTATGTGGTACAAGCCCATTATTCCAACAAATTGAATTGTATGGCAAGCAAGCCCATTGAGAAATATTTGCTTTTTACTTCTTTTTTTTTCGATACAGCTCTGTTATTTTTCCTATAAAGATTAGAATTATATTGAGGCACAGACAGATTTTGTTCAACACTTGTAACCACTCTTCGTTCCTGCAATAAAGTCTGTTATTTTTTTACCATACGACGTGTGCATTCTTTATCTGGCGCTGCGAATAGGATCGTTATACGCCTTCGTGGAAAACATCTGGAAGTTTGTACGAGCCCAGCCAACCATCAGTAAAATCTTCGAGATTCATCAGATAAGCTGATCTACGTCCCTTCTGTGTGACCAACCATTGTGAGGTAGGAAGTATCCACTTCCGTAAGAGAAACGATCTGAGAACCTGAGAGCCACGTCCGAGGTCCCTGCAGAACGAGCCTAGAGAAACAGTTAGCTACAAGAACCAGAGCAGTCTCCGTTATGAAAAATTTGATTTTTCACATAACGCTAGAGTAAGCCAAATCCATTTTATCTATTTAGTCAAAGAAACTTTTGGTAAATCTCCAGTACGAGAACGATCACCCATTAGAAGACAACCAGTAAAAAACCAAGCTAACGTTAGAGAGGAATTCAGAACAACCATGGCTGACAATCCACAAATGTTATTTAACCTATTGAAAGATAGTGTGCCTATTTTTTCTGAAACATCAAATAATTTATCTGTATATTTACGTAAATCTAGAGAATTTGTTGCCGCTTTGCATGGCCCATATCAAATTCATGCTTTATCGTACGTAAAATCCAAACTATAAGGAGAACCCTCTGTTATCGTTGAACGAAATAATCCTCAAACTTGGCAAGAATTTGAAGAAATTCTCAAAGAACGTTACAAAGATTCAAAATCCGAATTAATGCTACTTGATGAACTTAGAAAATTATCCCAGTACACAGACTATATGAATTTTCATACTGAAATTTTGCAAAAATTACATATTCTTAGAGAATATGCTCTTTTGGAATTTTCTGATGTAGTTGCTCAATCTAGAGTCGACCTTTACACAGAAGCTGCATTAAATTCATTTGTAACTGGTATTAAAGAACCATATAAATCACTCCTATTTAACGCAACACCTACAACTCTTCAAGTTGCCTTACAAATTTGTCGAAAATACGATAAGTTACAAATACAATCGCAATGCAAAGTATTTACTAAACAAAATGCCAAAAATACTAACGCCATTCAAAAACCGAAACCTACAAATACCGTTCAAAATACACCTATGTGGCGATTCCCTTCAAACCAACAATTTTACAATCCGCAATTTTACCAACAGCCACAACGATCTAACTTCCCAACTGGCCCGATTAACATCAGACCAAATTATTTTAATAATCAATTTCAAAGACAAATTCTAGCACGACAGCCTAATTTCTATCCACAAAATAGACAAGGTCCACCAAAAAACTTTAAACCGACACCCATGTCTACATCAACTATTACGAACCGCCCCTCGCAACAACAGAATCAATACCGTCCTAACCTTTTCTCTAATCACGGACAAAGACCAAATTTTATCGCTGAAGAACTAACCAACACCGAAGCGACCGAACAATCACAAAACGAACAAGAATTCGATGAACAGCAATACTATGATCCAAATTATGAAAATTATGACCAACAAGAATATGAAAATTCAGATAGTAACCCTACTGTCGAGTTTCCCCCTGAAGAGACAACTCAAAATTTTCCGAAAGCCCCAAATCAAAACCCATTGACTTAGATCTCAATAATTATGAGAACACACATTTGCCATACATTTATTTACAAAATTTAGATTTGCTAGTTCTTATAGACACTGGTGCATCTGTCTCTTTGATCAACACTCAAATTGCTTTCAATTATTTTCCAGATTACATTTATCCAAAACACTTTTCAATAAAATCTGTCATTGGTACTAAACACGGTGAGTACGCTTTGCGAATTCCTTTGTTCAATGAACATGGCATTAACACTGGAATTGAATTTCTCATTTTAGACTGGCACGAACGTTTTGACTGTTTGCTAGGATATTATGATCTACAAAAATTTCTAGCTACTTTACAAACATCTAAGAATTTGCTATCCATTGATCGTTTAAACTTTTTTTGCCACACTGACAAAATACCACGTAAAGTCCCGAACACTGTAATCAAAAATCAAGTTCTAAAATCCCCTATCAAAAATGGACAAATTATCGTTCCACCTATTAAATATCTAAATTCTAACGATTACACACCCGAAATGATTTGTACCGTTAATAATTACGAAGTACTATACCCAGAAAATCCAAATCTATTAGATTTAAACTATCAATGCATCAAATACGACAATTTGGATAATTACGACATTGAAACACCCCAGAATGAATATAATTTAACTGATATTGGAACTTTAATAAGAACTGATCACATGAATGACGAGGAAAAATACAAGATAACAGAACTTTGTAGAAAATTTCCCGAAGCTTTTCTAAAACCTAACGAAAAATTAGAGCAATGTACCGTAACATCTCATTCTATCAGAGTCTATCCACTCTATTTAAAAACCGAAATTCAGAAACAAGTCGCTAAACTTTTGCAAGATGACATCATCCGTCCCAGTACAAGTCCGTACTCATCACCTGTATGGATCATAAATAAGAAGCCTGACGCTTCCGGCGTTAAAAAATATCGCATGATAATCGATTTTCGTAAACTAAATGACATTACTATCGAAGATAAATATCCTTTGCCCCGAACTGAAGAAATATTAGAGAGTTTAGGCAAAGCCGAATATTTTTCAACGTTAGATCTGGCACAAGGATTCCATCAGATTCTTATGCACAAAGACTCAATTGAAAAGGCTGCCTTCACCGTCGACAACAAGCACTATGAATACTTACGAATGCCCTTCGGACTGAAAAACGCTCCAGCAACATTCCAAAGAATGATGAATTTTGTTTTAAAACCTTACATCGGAAAAATATGTTTCGTCTATTTAGATGACATAATAATTTTCTCAAAATCATTGCAAGACCACCTTATTCATTTGAAATCTATATTTCAAGCTTTAATTAAACATCAATTGAAAATACAACTTGACAAAACAGAGTTCCTAAGAACAGACGTTCCATTTCTGGGACATGTAATAACGCCAAACGGAATTAAACCAAATCAGATGCATTCAAGATTTTCCAATACCAAAAACTATCAAACAAATTCAATCATTTTTAGGATTAACCAACTATTACAGAAAATTCATTAAAGACTTTGCCAAAATTACCAAACCTTTCACTAAATGTTTAGGGAAAGACGAGAAAATCAACATTTCAGATCGTGATTACATTCAAGCTTTTGATGTAATAAGAAAGACTATCACTAATTCACCCGTACTCCATTATCCTGATTTTTCAAAAACGTTCACGTTAACAACCGACGCCTCAAATATTGCGATAGGAAGTGTTCTATCACAAGACGGAAGACCTATCAGTTTTCATTCAAGAACATTAAACTCTGCTTAACGAAATTATTCCACCATTAAAAAAGAACTCTTAGCCATTATTGATTCATGCAAACACTTTAGACCATATTTATTTGGACATAGATTTCTGATTGAGACTGATCATAAACCTTTGGTGTGGTTATCAAATTTGAAAGAACCAAACCAGAGATTAATTAGATGGAAAATCAAACTTGAGGAATACGATTTCGAAATCAAATACAAAAAAGGCAAAACAAATTTAGTTGCTGACGCCGTAAGCCGAATCCAGATAAATGTTCAGGATTATCTCGAAACCGAATCAATGATCCCTAACGCACCCGAATCAGAAATTACTATTCACGAAACAGACAACAGATCAACTAACACGAGACACACTTCGCCTGAATCAAACCCAAACTCGATTCAATTTTCAGACAAAAACTTGTATGCCTATCCTCACCGAATTGAACTTATAACAGGTAAAAAGAAAAATAAGATCAAATTACTTCCGAATAAGACACTAAGGTGCTCTTTAATTAATCACTTATGTTCCTCATTTATTTTGGATTGTATAAAAAATTATTGTACCCCTGGTATTAAATACGGGATTTGGTACGACGATCAGAAACTTTTGCCCATACTTAGTAAAATTATGACACAATCTTTTTCTGCAAAACATATTGTACTAGAAAAAGCTGCATTTAAACCAATTTATTTAGACAAACAAGAAATGAAAGACGAAATAACTTTGTACCATCATAAGTTTCACAACGGAATTAATGAAACTTATTCTCATTTCCAAAAGACTCACTATACACCAAAACTTAAAGACCTTATAACTGACATCATTAATAAATACGAAATCTGTTTAAAAGCTAAATACGAACGAAAACCTTACAAAGAACCAATCCAAGGCCCATTTTTCAGTAACAAACCATTCCAACTAGTGTTCATAGATATTTTTACTACTGAAAATACTAAATATGTAACTTTTATAGACCACTTTAGTAGATATGCCCAAGCCTATCAGACCATGTCACGAAATCACGTAGACATACTATCTAAAATGAAACATTTCTTTTCACATCATGGATTTCCAAAATCACTTCATGCCGATTATGGAGAATTACGTTAAGTTATTAAAGATTATTGTAAAGCTCATGAAATACATTTGCACTTAGGAAGCACCAGCAATCCTAGTTCTATTGCACCAATTGAACTATTACATAGTACCATTGGAGAAAAATTTCGAATCCTAAGACAGACTCGAAAAACAGACACTACTACTGACGTTATATATTAAATTACAATCAATCTGTTCATTCTACTACAAAACATACACCTTTTGATTTATTATACGGTAGTACTGAAGACCCTTATTCATCACATCTTAAACAAATATTAGAAAAAGACAAAATCAATGAACAAATCGCTCACGATTCTTATAATCAATTAAAAAAACAAACTAACAAAATTAACGAAAAACGCGTATCTAAGATCCCCGTTTTAAAATCTCCGATCTATATCAAAATCCCAATCAGACAAACTAAGGACAAACCAAAATATCAAAAACACACTAATTTCAAACAACAAGGAAATCAAATTGTAATCAAAGATATAAAACACATGCTGAGACGAATCAAGCCTCAACGTAAAAATCCTTTACAGAGCTCTACCAGTCCAATGCCTACCAATTCGAGCGCTACTGATGAACCCTCTGCTCAAAGCACCTCCGGTAATCAAACTGCCGCTAGGAAATTCAAGATTAATCGAAAATCGTCATAAAACTCAATTCCTTATTAATTTAAATTATATAACCAATCCAAAACTACATGAAAATCAACACGCACTGAATCTACAGAATTAAAAAGTTATTTTCTTCTGTAAAGGTTTGCAAGGCACTTTTGAGCACAATACTACCAATATCCAAGAAAGCATAGTTTCTGTTACACAAAATATGGCTTTTCAAATGAAATTCTTCGAGCAAATCGCACATCAAATAAATTTAAATTCAAATTAATCATTTGAGCGTCCTATCAATTCTTTCATTAAATCATAGGGAAATAAATATCCTCATTGAACATTTGCAAACTTTATACCATAAAGATCATCTGTTAGATTTTGAAACAATGCACCCTTTTGAGATACTGAATCTTTGCGAACTATCAATTGTAACTTTGCGAAATGAATCATATTCGTAATTCATGTACCTCTTCTTGACCGTAAAAACTTACAGTGTTTTTGAATTGTATCCGTTAATTATAAGGAATGAATTAATAAAGATCCCAAGCAATTTTACTTTATAATTTGAAGAAGAAAGATTTTGCTCCAATTTAATCAAACTAAGTAACAATCCGCATTTATGTTTTTAATTACTAAACAGGCACATGTAAGCCATCTATGTTGGAAAATTGTCCTCATATTCACTTAAAATACTATTAATACTAATATTTCAATTGATATTAAAGACTGCAAGCAGATTGAATTATCATTGCCTTTACTTGAAAGTAATTTTAGCTTTTTAAATCCTTCTTATTACCAAAATCATTTGGAAATAATAGTTCATACTAAGTTGCAAAACCTTTCTTACGACTCTTACAGCTTTGGAACCATATTGTAACTGTAAATGAAATTTTCTCTAAGTTGGAGACCAACTTTTCGTAGGAGGGAGGAGTTATGGAATCCTGTTGGTAACATAACTATGTGGTGCAAGCCCATTATTCCAACAAATTGAATTGTATGGCAAGCAAGCCCACAGACAGATTTTGTTCAATACTTGTAACCACTCTTCGTTCCTGCAATAAAGTCTGTTATTTTTTTACCATACGACGTGTGCATTCTTTATCTTATATTCAGTGCTTAAAAACTCTACATTAACAGTTAACAGAGAACTAACTATGGAAGCTTACTATACGAGGGGTGTTCGGTATATAGGATATATGACTATACGGGTGCGTTAGATCTGTAACGCGCAGAAAGTATTAGCGTTGAGAAAAGGTATAGGGTCCATTTTCAAGTTGAAGAATGTGCTAATGTTGGTTGGCCGTGTTTTACTTTTGCCAGCGTCAGAAACTGTTTTCCAGTACTATGCCCGCTAATGGCCTAGTAATAAAATAAGTACAAAAAATTAAAGAATAATTTATCGTATTGGTATTGAAGAAGGGTAGCTACATGACGAGTTGCATATACCTAACATCAGCTATTCCACACTCGTTTTCAAATATTTCGAATTATAAAGATTCATTGTCAATTTGGCAATTTTAGTTTAAAATAGCGTATCTAAGAATATCTCTATAAAAATTTTAAAAAAATCTCTTGCGGTAGCTTCCTCTGTACTTTGTAAACGTCTCTGTAGTCCCTGCTTTAATTTGAACCACTTGGATCTAAAGTAAATTTCACCCCACTTTACTCTGATTCAAACTATTAATAAACTGGAAAAAATCCACCGACCTACATACCTAATCAGCGTTAAACTCCGAAGTGACATTTTACTCGTTTTTCCGAACTATGCTTCGGTATTTATTCCGGGTCTGCTGGTCAGCTCCGGTGGAACTTCGGGACTTCCAAATAAATGGACAACATAAAGTTGATAAATACAGGCCGTAGGATAGCCGGGCACCAACGAGCATGGAGCTACTGCCGTTTCCGATGAGGAATGATTTTGTTTATTAGTTCAGACCTTACCGGCGCCAGAAACCAAGAACGTAATTTAGCGAAATTTTATCATAACTGTGATGTAGTTTTGTGTATACGATTTTGCTGAATTAAGGACCAAACGAATAGCGGTTTCTCCGCGAGAGGCTTCCTCATCGTAAGGACCCCTTATTTGCGTTGGCAGTCTTGATATATCTTTCTCGAGAAAGAAGACAGTCTTGTTCAAACTGAAATCTCCATATTGTTTTGCATAGTCTTCAACTTTAACGCATTATTATTCCACATTTTCGTCAAGATACGCAGGAATCTCCTTATTTTAGTTCTTACGTTTATATAAAACACATTCCATCTGAAACATCAAATCAATAATATACAGGGTGGCCCATGCACGAGTGGACGGAATATTACTCATAAACAAATACATTTTGGGAAAATCTATTTATGGGATGCTATACATGACATTTGAGGGCACTTTTCTAAAATATTGTCCCAATTTTGACCTACATATCAAAGTTGTGATTTTTCAACTGGTATGCCTCAAATTTTATTGCATATTTGGATAAACCAATTGAAAAAAAGAAAATTGATATAACATACTATAAAGTTTTGGTAATTAGCTACTAGATATAAGGTGTTTTGTCTAGAAAAGTACCCCACTTCGGCAACCCTCAGTCCTCCATTTTGAAATTTGGAGTGCTCAATTTTGTATAAAAAAAAAACTTACACATCTCAGCTTTTATCTTATTTGTTACTT